AATTTAAATTATAATATTGTTATCCTAATTTATAATAACTTGCTGTTGATATATAAATAAAAATACAAAAAAATATTTAATTATTTTTTTATATATTAATAATAAAAATTATGAAATATAACAAATAATAATTAATTTTCAAAATTAATTATTGTAAAAAAGAAAATTAATAAATAATTTTAAAAAAATAAAAATATATATATAAATTAATATAATATTTATAATAAAATAAATATATTATAAATTTAAAGAATATTAATTTATATTTATATTTATATTTATATTTATATTTATATTTATATTTATATTTATATTTATATTTATACATTTTTATCAAAAATATGATTATTTTATATTTTACATATATATTTTTTATATATTTTTTTAATAAAAATATTATATATATAGTATTAATTAATATACATATTGATAATTTTTTATTTATTTATAATTTTTATAAAATTTATTCAAATATTTTATTTAATTAAAAATAATATATATATATAAACATTTATTTTTAAAATAAAAAATTTTCATTTCTTTTTTTTTATATAAAATATTTAAATTAAATATTTATATAATTGAAATATATTATCTAATTTAATAATTAAAATATTTTCATAATATATTTTTAAAATTTAAGAAATTTAACCGAAACTCTTTTACTATATTTATATTTTAACATACATATTTATATAAATATATTAAGTAAAAACTATATTTTAATCTTTAATTTATAAACATAATTTTTTAATTTTTTAAAAAATTTCAAATAATATTTTTTTACTCATTAAAATTATACAAAAAGTTTATTTAAAATTAATATAATTTTTATAATGATAGATTAAGTATAATAATATTTTAAAAAATAAAAAAAAAATCCATATGTATTAAATATTATAATTATTCTCTTATAAAAATATGTAAAAATTTATTTATTTTAATATTCTATAAGTAAATTTTTAATAATAATAAATATTATTTAAATATAAATTATTAAAAAATAATTATGATCTAAATATTTATTTTATTATGTGTTAAAGATAAAAAAAATATTAAGATAAAAATAATAAATTTTTATTTAAATTTGTGGGATTTGATATATATTTAAGAAAATATTATAAGATTATTTATAAGAAATTTAAAAATATATCAATATAAAATAAATCATTATGATATATAATAATTTTTTTATTGAAATATAGATTTTAGATACAAAATACCTTGATTTATGAAAAATTCATTATTCTTTTTATATATAATCATTACAAACATTGTAATTATTATAATTATTACTATTATTAATATTATTATTATTATTATTATTATTATTAATATTTTTTTATTAATTATTTTAAACTGGAATTATTTTTAAGCTTTTGTATTCTCCAGTAAATATTTTTTTGTTTCTTCTTATTAAAATAGGTGATTCTTCTAATTTTAGTTCCGAAACAATCTCCAAAGAACCTATATTTTATATATATTTTAATTATTATTTACTAAAACTATAATTCTATTAATAACCTTAATCTTTATCTCTATCTGAATTAATTTCATTACAAATAGAAGTTATATCTGTATTATCATTTTGAGTATAATTATTTGTAGATAATTTTTTTATGGATTATAATGAAATATTTTTATTTTTCTAAAAATACTTATCTTCTTTTTCTCTTGGATCGGTCGCATAAACTTATTATTCTTCTAACCAGTCATGCATTTTTTTTTCTAATTAATCATTTTAATTAATAATTATTTTATCAAATTTTAATTTTCTTTATTCTGTTTAGCCTATGTCATTTAAATTAATTAATTATTAAGTAAATAATCTATTTTTTTTATTTACTTTTCATTTTTATTTTATTGTTTATTTTATTTTATTTTTTTGTTCTTTTCAATTAATTTTAATTTTTATTTACAATATTTCTATGGTATAATTTTATTTTTCTTTAAATAATATTTGTAATTTTTTTATTACTAAAATATAAAAATTCAAAAAAATATACACAAAATAAATAAATTTTAAATCTTTATCTATATTTGTAAATTTTTAATTGAATTTTTTTATATAAAATATAAAACTTTAAATTAATATAAATTTATATATGTTTATAATAAAAAATTCATTTTTTTTCATATTTTAAAGAATAATATAAAAATATAAATAAAATTATTATTAATATTTTTTTAAGAAAAAAAAAAAAAAATTAAAAAAATATATAAATTATTATTTATTATTATTAAAAATGATAAATAATAAATTCAAAACCATATTTCATATTCTGGATTTAAAATGCAACTTCCACTAGAAGCTAAAGTTTTAAAAACATAGAAATTTAAATCATCGGCTATCATTAAATGTTTATTTTCTTTTGCACAATAATATTCATTCATAATAAATTCTACAATTTTGTCACCTTTTTCTTTTTCAACTATTCCCAAAACAGATCCTCCCCATCCTTCTCCAATTACTTTAGTGCATTTACAGCCTAATTATGTCATTAAACTTTATAATTTACTGCATTCTAATGATTCTGCTTCAAGATTTTCTTTCATACTTTTTTCACTTTGTATAATGAGTTCGAAAATATATTCCCACTTTTATTTGTCATTAATATCTTAATTATTACAAATATTTTAAAATTTTTAACAATTTATAGATTCTTAAACTATATGAATAGCTCGTCTAATTAAAGATAAAATATAAATATATATTTGAATAAAAAATTATATTTAAAAGTTTAAATATTAAAATAATTAATATATATATATATATTAATTAAAAAAATGTTTTTATTTATTAATTATATATATATATATTATTATATATTTATATATATATATATATATATTTATATAAATACATTTTAATTTTATTTTTATTTACTTATATGGATTATATTTATTATTGCTTTCAATTACCTAATGTGCATAGGGAATATCTTATAAAATATTTATCAAACTATTTTTAAGACTACTTTCTATTTCCTCTTTTGAATATGTTTTATTTTCAATATGTTAATTAATTATATGTATCATATCTTCATTAGAATAATCTAAGAATTACTATACTGCTTTAATAGATTTGTATATTTCTCTGTTCTATACTACATTAAGACTTGAAAGAAGCATATGTACTGCAATTCTGTGTTCGCAAATTCTTTTATTTATTCTTTAAGAATTAGCTAACATTTTTGGTTCAGGTGTTAGCGAGTTTGCAATAATAAACGTATAACCAGAAGGAATAGGTATTTTTTTTAAATATTACCGACATAAGATGTATTTTTTTATGCGAAAAGCATAATTTATTAATATGAAGATTATGTGATTGAATTAATGTTCAAAGTTTTCAAAAAGATATTATAGCTTTAAAAAAAAGTTTAAAAATCAATTTGTATTTTATTTGAATGTAAAACCATCAAACTAGTAGCTAATGCTAAAGCATTTGTACTATGAAAATGTTATTTTTAAGGAATTCTATTATAAAAAAGGCATTTAATTCCTTTAAATTTTATTTTTTGTCCACTTTCTTGTATATTGTTAACAGCAGCACGAATTCCTAAAATGATCATATTTATTTATTTTTTTGTTTATTCTGGTGTATTCTTATTATCGTTTTCCTTATCTTCATCCCAAAATGCTTAGTCGTATGTAAATTTTTTTTATTCGAAATATGTTTACTGAATGCTATTAACGATTATTTCTTCATTAGAATTGTTAATGGAATATGCTATTAATAAATCTCTTTCTATTGCAATATTACATTATTCATATTCTGTGTAAATTGGATCTTCACCAAATAGACTCAATAAGCCAGGTACACGTATAAAGTAATTTGGTTATTAACCATATTTTTAGGTAAATCGGCCTGTCAAAGATTCATATTCTTGTATAAACTCATTATCTTCTTCATTATTAATATCTTAGTATATTTAAGTCACGTGTTCAACTATTTCTACTCCCATAAAAAGCTTTTTTTGATTCATTTAATTATTTTTAGTTTATTTTGCTGCAATATAATTTATTCAATATTTAAATTTAAATATAATATTTTTAGAATCTTTATTTTTTTAATTTAAATATTTTTATTTTATTTATATAAAAATTATGTTTGAAAATTATTATATAAAATGAGGTTAAAAAATAAATAATTAAAAAAAGCTTTATTATAAATATTATTAAAAAAAATAAGATGCTTAATTTTACAAACTGCATTAACAAATAATTTATTAAAATTTATTCAAATAATTTTTTTTTTTGCATTTAAAAAAAAATAATGTTGTATTAATTGTAAATCTAAATAATAATAAAATATTACTCCTCACACTATATATAAATAAATATTTATTTACTTTTTAATTAATTCTCTGCTTTTTAAACTATATGTTAATTATATTATTATTTCTGTATTTTTTTTTAAAACTCAATCATATAAAATAAAGCTATTATATGCTTTGAATTGCTTTTTTATTTCGAAATCAAGTTTTAATCAAAAAAAATATCAAAAATAATAAAATCTTTTAAAATTAAATATCTTATAAAAAAAAGATATAATATTATTATATTTAAGAAAAAACAATAAAAATTAATGTAAAATATCAACAAAAGAAATAATAAAATAATTTAATATAATTAAAAACAAATAAATTAAAAATATATTTTATTCTATAAATTTAATATACATTTTTATTTTTTAATTATATTTTTGAAATAAATTAAAAAATATATAAAAAAAATCAAAATAATATAAATTAATAAAATACTTGATGAATTAAAAAATATATCTTGAAATTATTAATATGAAATGGTCAAAGAACAACAAAAAATATATTATATATTTTTATAAATATAATATATATATATATATATATATATATATACATATATATATATT